CCCGCCCCGCCGGCCCGGAGGCCGCCGCGAGAAAAGGCGGAGCCGCTGCCGGCGCCGCCGCCTGGTACGGCCCGTGAGGGTGCGGCGAGCGTCGCGGCTTGCTGCTGCTGCTGCTTCTGAATGTATTTGCGGTATTGCCAGGCGATGCGCAGTCCATCATCAGCCTCTGGGCCTGGAGCTGGGGCGCCGCCGCCGCCGGCTGTGGCGGCTTGCAAAGGCGACGTCTGCGGCGCAGCACGCGGGCGGTGACGTCAGCAAGCAGGTGGCAGGGAGGTTACTTATTTACAAGCCCGTTGTGCTCAAGTTTTTGTGTTTGCAAGCATTCTGTGCAAGTTTGAATCACTTCAAATCATATCCCTCAGCAGCGACCCACCCGGGTTTCGCTGTCCTGCCGCGCTGTGGCAACGGCGGGCACGAACGCCGCCGCGCCGCCTGGCTGCGGCCTTGGCGCCAGCCAGCAGGACGAGTGGCCGCACGCAATACCCTCCGCCAAAAAGTGCTTGATGAAGCCGATGTGCTGCTGCGAGTGAGGGTCTTCCAGGAGCAGCATCACGCTGCCAAGCGGCAGCCCACCGCCCAGCAGGCGGTCCAGGTCGGCGAGGCCGGTTGAAAGGAGCGTCTGGCCATGGAGTCCAGGACGCACTCCGATTTCTGCGGTGCCACTAACTGGTTGCCGCCTCGTGAAGGCGCTCATTTGTTGCTGGAGAGAAAGCACGCGTGGCTTGCGATCTGATCACTGAAGCTATCATAAAGCTCGCGGTGCGATGCAACCTTCAGCTAGACAAACAATCTGTATGGGTATACACTCTAAGCTACTGATGTGCAGCAAGCACGAACGGGTTTGTCATCGTCGCAAAGGAGGGGGCGATTTGAAGTGAAGGAGAAGCATGAAAAGACCAGCAATTTTACTGACAATATAAGCCTTAGATTAGTGGTGCCTGGTCAAAGCGGTCTCCGCGATGGCAGAGCTCCATATCGTCGGACAGTTCGTGGGGGCGTCAGGCTTTGACGGGCACAATGTTTTCTGCAAGGTGCGTAAGATCTAGGCTGTGCCGCTCAGCGCCGCACCGGTCAGCGCTCAGGTGCTCTTGATGAATTGTTGGCTTGGGGCCCCGCTGCTTTGATGCATGCGCTTGCTTAGTACCGTACCCACCTTGCACCCTGCTCCATACGCACTCATCGCCACGCTGCGCACGCCGTCACGCTTCGCATGCAGTGGGGCGTGCGCGCGGGCCGGAGCTGGGAGTTGATAGAGGGCCTGGACGGCGGCCAGACGCAGGTCGACGCGCCACCAGACGGCGAGATGGCGGTGTGGGGGCACCCGCTAGATGTGCACTTCCTGTGCCGCGGGCTGTCGGGATGGCCCAAGCTGCACGTGCAAGTGTGGTCCCAGGACGCTCACGGACGCAACGAGCTCAGTGAGTGGGCTTAAGCTCTGATTTACACGTTTACAAGGCTTTGGCCGCAGAGGGCAGCTGTGGATGTATGCCCCCTTGCAGCGCTCCCAGCAGGCTGGACTAACCGTCGTTTCGTATTTGACACGCAGAGGGGTACGGCTTCTGCCACGTGCCTACCTCCCCAGGCATGTTCAGTTTAGACTGCCCGACCTGGCTGCCAGAGGTGCGCGTGGGTCTGGCTGCAGCCGCTGCCCTACGACACGGCTAGCGGCAGACCGCGCAGCGGCATGGGGCAACCACTGCTGTGGCTGCTGCATGGCGAATGCCGCGTTTTGGTGTACATCTCCAGGAGCTGTGCTGTGTGGGTGCCGGCCACAACATGCAAGCGCGATGCTGGGTGTTCCCGGGGCCAGCAGTGACTGGCGTGCACAGCAGCTGAGACCCTTGCCCCGTCGCCCCATTGCGCTTTGCGTTTCCCAGGGATCCGCCCTGCAGCGCGTGGCCGCGTTCTTTGTGGGCGGCGCGCCGCGGCTGCGCATGGAGGAGGTGGTGCACTCGCCAGGGGACAGGTTCCGGCTGCAAACGGTGGCGGGCGGCATGGTGCACCTCCGGCTAGGTGGGGGGCCGCGCTGTCTGGGGAGCCCACCGCATGTCCTGCCGGGTGCTGGGTGCTGATCGGCAGGCGCCGGCAGGACAGTTGCGCGGGCAAGCTGTGGAACAAGCCAATGTTGCTGGACAGGCTGAAAGGGCAGCAGGCATGATGCAATGCGCGGATGCAGCAGACTGCAAAGGCCTGGCATCACTGCTAGAATACTGCGGCTGTGCCCAACATCCGAGCTCTTTCCCATGCACTGCATTCCCTGATGCAGGTATCGTGATGCGCGACTTTGAACGCCATGGGGTCGTGACGAGCTGATGGCACATGTCGTGCTGCGGCGCGTGACCGAGCCGACCGTTGGCGCCCGCTACGAAATGCATTAGCACATTGTAGGACCTCCACAGTTGCAGCACTGGTGTGTGTTCACACTCCTTGTAATACAAGGTGATGGGAAATGCTGCACGTGGAGCCAACTGGGGGTCCCAACGCTGGAAAAGCGCCCAGATAAGGGCGGGCCACTGCAGTGAAACGCAAGAGGTGGCCTGTGGGAGGGAGTGGCAGGGTGGCACACAAAGACACGAGCAGGAAAAACGAGAAAGGAAGAACAAAGGAAGCTGACCGCCACAGGAGGGGTCTCGCGCAGCCCAGCTGTTCAGCCGCCCGCCTCGCCCGCTGCCGCCGCCTCCTTTCTCCGCTTCGCTGGGCGCTGCCCGCCGCCCCGGCCGCCGCTCTCCGCGCCGCCGCCGCCTGTGCTCTTCTTGGCCTTTGTGTCTGCGGCCGCCTGGCGGCGTTCGCGCTTGAGGCCCTTGGGCTTGGACAGCCCCAGGGTGTCGAGCGTCTGCTTGGGCATGTAGATGCGCCCCACCCTGCCGTCCAGGCTGTCGCGGCCGACGTTCTTCTCCTGCAGAATGATGGGTGGTCGTGCGGGTAGTGGCAGAAGTTGCAGTGGGCGTGCCGGCATTGTGAGCATATGAATCAGGCACGAGGCGGGCGCGGTGCGCGGATTGGTGCGCGCGTCGCTCAGGGGCTCTGCTCAGCATTTTGTGATACAAGGGTGCGTTCATCGAGGGTTGACCCCCTCAAACAAGAGGTGTCAGAAGGTATGCTTTTCTCATCACTGCAGGGGTCCGAGCACGGGGTCCGCATACACACGCGCACATACACACACACACACACAAACACACACACACACGTGCACCGAGCTCCAAGAAACAAAGCGTAAGCACTCAACTCCACGTAAACACGCCGCAGCAAACAACAGCGCACGCAGCAGTGAGGCGGGCCGTCTGCTCAGCCTGGTGCCAGTAACAAAAGTGTTCGTTCATAGAGGGGGTTGCCCGCTCAACCATAGAGTACAAAGGGTTTGCGTTCTCATCACTGCAGACGGCTCGCTTGGCCATTGCCTCACTGCTGCACGCACAACACTGGTCTGCAGGCATGTACACACACGCTCACACGTATGCACGCGCACATCCAAGCACGTCCAGAAGCACAGATGCCTGTGTCCCCCCACCTTCTTCTTGCCGATCTGTGGCCGCTTCATCGCCTCCTTTTCCAGGTCCGCCCCTGCCGCCCTGCTGCGCCGCACCACCAAGTCCAGGCTGGGACCCATCTCATCCAGCGCCACTTTGGGCACCTGGGGCACCGGCAGAGATGGGCGGAGTGGTGCGTGCGGACGTCAGGGGCGTCGTAAGCCGTGTTGAATGAGGGGAGGCGCACATGCGTGGCGCCTCCTCAAGCGCCGGGCAGAGGCCTTGCGCCGGCCCATGTGGCGCTGTGCTCCATGTGCCGCTGCGCTCGCCCATGTCATGCACGCGGCAGCCGCCAGCGTTGCGGTGGGTGGACGTAGCGGCTGCCGCGCCCTGCCGGCCTGAGGAGGCGTTATCATGCCCTTGAGATGCGCCGCACCTTGGGGTTGGCGCCCTTTTTCAGGCGGATCCTGTACTGCCGCAGAAGCAGGCTGTCTTCAGTGTCGCCCGCCGCAAACACCGCAATGACGCGGTCCAGGCCCGCCAGGTTGAGGGCCGTCACCTGGGTGAGGGGATGATTGTGTTTTTGGGTGAGGTGATGATTGCTTTTTTGGAGGGGAGAGGTAGGGGGCGTGAGGACGGGAGGGACTGGGGGTGGAGGCGCACCCTCGGGGGCAGGAAGCTGGGCGGGAGGGGGGGCTGCGGGCGCGCCGGTGGCCAGGTGCGCCCATGCGGGCGCTGGCAGTGCTGTGGCCGCAGGCTGCGGCCGGACCAGGTTCGCTAGGCCGCCCGGGGCCCACCGCTGAGCGCGGCGGCGGCGGCGGCCCACCTCGAGGCCGCGGAAAAAGTCCAGCAGCAGCGACTTGGCCAGCTTGAGCGCCGGCACGCTCTCGAACCGCTCCCCGACAAACAGCACCGCCGGCTTGTTGCCGGCCTGCGCGGACGCGGCGCCGCCAAACTCCTTGATTGGCCGGTGGCGCTCAACGCCGAGCTCCAGGCAGTCGTACAGGTGGAAGTCGAACAGGCGGCCGAGGGTGAGGTTGTTGGGCCGCTTCTTGCTGTGCGCGCCGAGGGCGAAGAGGCTGCAGTTGGCCTTTTGGGCGAAGAATTCCAAAGCGGCCTCGCCGCCGGGCTCGAGGGGCTTGACGGCGTCGTTCCTGCGCGTGAAGCGCGCAGACTCGGTCTGCGTGGGAGGGGTGGGTGCGGGCGCAGGGCACGTTGAGAGCGGCAACGGGGCATCCTTAGAGAGCTGGCTGCTTGTCTCGCTCGCAAGGGGCTGACGCATGACATGACCCCAACGCGAGGCAGGCGCGGCGGGCGCGGCGCGGGCGCGGCCGGGGGCGTGCTGCTGCATGCGCGCGCGTGTGCGCCCATCAGCGGGCGGGCTGGCGGGTGGTCTCGGCAGCGCGGAAGCAGCGGGGAGAGGCGCACCCCCTTGAGCTTGTGCAGGTCAGTCAGGACGTCCTTAATGACGGCGCTGGTGTTGCCGCCGTACAGGATGAGGGCGCGCTTCGCATCCTCAACCAGCTTGGGGCCCCGCTTCTCAAGCACGCGCTTGCCTCGCTTGGTGCGCGGCTTGACCAGCGCGGCCTGCTGCGGGTCCGCCGCCGGCGGCCGCGCAGGCGGCGCCATCGCCGGGGCTCCGGGCGGCGGCAGGGGCCGCGCCGGCGGCGGCGGCGGGCCTGCCGAGGGGGTGCGGCGGCG